TCTTGGATCCAATGTGTATATGGTAGCACTCTATCATAATTTTTAAATATGAAGAATACTTAGGTGTAAGGAAATAAACTGATCTCTCTGTTTTCTTCATAAATTCTTTATATTTGGCTATAAATTACAAATTCAAAGAGTAGAGGCTAAGGATATGTGATAATAAATAGGTAGAATGGAAGAACTTAAGGGAAGCGAATTTCTCCTGGACGGTTACATAACGCTTGGTGAAGCAAAGGAAATCACTATTGGAGGCTGCAAGTATAGCCTCCAATATTATCAAGGCGATCACGAGGCTGAATACACGTTGACGAGAGCTGGGAAGGTTTGCCTATTCCAAAATGGCATACTGAAGATGTATTACGAGGTGGATGCGAACGGGAGCGAAATCGGTGACTTTACGCGATTTGATAATGGACGTGTCGCTTTTGTCCAATCATTTGACGAAATTCTGGATCAGCACGATTTTCATCGTATAATAAACCATGTCCGAGGCGAACGAATGGAAATCTATTCGCATGCGAGTGATCACCTGATTTATCACGGTGAATTTAATGAGAAGCGAGAACGAGAAGGATGGGGCATCGCGTATGACGATAAAACGGGTGCCATGCTGCTTGAAGGGATGTGGAAGGGGAACAAGCTGGTGGAGATCATCCGCAAGATCGAGGGAAGCATTATGATCGAGTTCAAGCGAAACGGTAACAACACCATCGCTTCGAATCGAATTCCCCTCTATGTGGGTGAATTCGTTTATGATGAATCGAAAGAATCGTTTCTTCGAAATGGTCGAGGATACTGGATCGATGAAGAAACTCGGATTGCTACTCGCGAAGTGGAATGGAAAGATGGAGTGGAAGTGAGTGGAAGAGATCTGTATGATGGATGGTACACTCGATCCACAACTCTAAAACCCAAACCCAAACCCGCTCCGATGCCTGTGCCTGCTCCTGCTCCTGCTCCTGCTCCTGCTTATGTTTCTGTTTTTGTTCCTGCTCCTGTTCCAAAACGCGAAGAACCTGCTCCTCTTCGATTCAGCGTCACTGGATCTACAAAATGGACCGATGTGAGTTTGCAAGTGACCGATTTGAAGATTTCATCGAATTGCTGTAACGATTTGAATGCATTGGATCTGAATCGATTCGAGTGGCTACGATCTATCGAAATCGGCAATGAATGTTTTGGATCAGTGAAAAAATTCAAAATCGATGGATTGAATCGATTGAAAACGATCAAAATCGGAAGCAATTCGTTTACTCAAGTGAAACAAGCCGAGCGGAATAAGATAAATTATTGTTATACCGAAGCTGTCCGACGATGTAGCAATTCGAAATCATTCCACATATTGAATTGTGAATCATTGGAATCCATTCAAATTGGTGAATGGAGTTTTAGTGATTTTGCTGGCGACTTTGAATTGAAGAATCTACCACAACTACAATCTATAGAAATTGGTACAATTGGAAGTTATTCAGGAAATTTCTGCTTAAGCTCATTTGTGATTCAAGGTATTGATATGATATTGAATATTTGAATAATGCATAGATCTTCCAAATCTACAATCCATTACATTAGGTGATCTTGCATTCACTGATTCCAAATCGACAATACTTGAAAGTATTGAATGAATTCGAATGAAATGATTGATGTAGATCTTCCATCATTACAATCCATTCAACTCGGTTGTAATGCACTTGTTGGAAAAAGGGATAATCCGACTTCATTGAGACTTCGAAGTAATAATGAATTGATTGGTTATGATTTGTTTTGTAGATCTTCCAAATCTAACATCAATAACTTCTGTACAATACAGTTTCTATTTTCCTTATGTAGTGACATTGGAAAGTATTTTTGAATATTGAATATTGATAGTATTTAGATATTCCAAATCTTCGAAATGTTGATCTACCTGGTTCATTCCAAAAAGTTCGATCGAAATCAATTTCGAGTATAGTATGATTGATTTGATTTGATTCATAGATGTTTCTTCCATTCTCGCTGATCTTGTCATAATCGATGAGTAAATCTCTAATTTTGATTTGATTTGATTTGTTTAGTGATTCGTCATTGTTTAGGAATATTTCCATTGTTTGTTTGTTTGTTTGTTTCAAACCGATTCTTGATCACAATTCATGATTCTATAAATTATCAAAATATCAATCCTACCTGATTATTATGATGTTCTTCTTTACCATTTTAACAATGATACTGAATTATGATTGTTGTTTCAATCAATCAATCAATCATTGTTTTCGATCATTATCATCATCATTATTATTATTATTACCAATGACCCAATGATCACATATTGAACATTCACAAATGATGAATCCAATCTACCAATAATAATAATAATAATATAGAAATGATGGTTTGAATAGGTTTGAACTAGGATTTGTTCAATATTGATAGGAAACTGCTTGCTTCGAATAATCATAATCATATTCATCATGAATAATAAGATTGGATTTGCTAGTGACACAATGGAATGGTTGGAATCGATTGATATTGGATGATTATTCACATTTGTGAATCCATTGTTAAATCGGTAGATAATACAATACAATACAATACTATACAATGATTGATATTGAATTAGGATATTGATTTTGACTTATTGAATAGGAATAGATCATTGTATACATAGAATAGAATAGAATAGAATAGAATAGAATAGAATCCGAATGAATAGCATTGGAAATCATATTGGATTCACCATTCAATCAATCCAACTATCATTTGTTTGTTTGTTTGTTTATCAATGAGTCACAAAACATGGATTTATCAATTTGATAATAATGGAATCAAATCGGATGTGTTTGATACTTGATAGTTGTAGTTAGTAGTAATATCAATCATGGTTTTACAATTCGATATTTGGATGGAATGTCGTATTCTTCAATATCACACAAACCATTCACTCATTCACTCATTCACTCAATCAATCAATGGATCAATGGATGAAAGATAGCTGATTCAAAATGCAAATGGATGTTGAATATCGTAAAGAATCAATTCATCATTCACACTCAATAATACTGAGAAGAATAGAAAGGCTCTTCAATCCATTGATTGAATGATTGAATGAATGAATTTGAATGAAATGATTGATGTAGATCTTTTATCATTACCATCCATTCAACTCGGCTAATAAACATTTGGTGGCAGAAAAAATAATGATTAATGTTCATTGCTAATGCGAAGTAATAATAGGAATAATATGAAATGATATGATGTAGATCTCTCAAATCTAACATTAATCGATTCTAAATAGTCGAGTTTTCATTATCCTTAAACTGTAGTATAAGAAAATAATTCATTTTATGACTCTTTTGTGTTCCTAAATAATTTAATCTGGGATATGATGATTTATTGATTTCTTTAAGGTCCAATATTTGGATCTATTTCTAGTAGGTTGTGAATTTGTTATTGTTGACTCTTGACATATGTATTTCAAGCTTGCTGAATGTGTTTAAGTTAACAGTTCTTTATACTTTACTGTCTTATGTTTCATAATGTTATGTAATTCTGTTTTTTCTAAATCTATTAGCTTTTATAATTTTTTATAATTTTAGTTTATTTGGAAAGTTGTACAGTATAGTGGATTGAGGGATATCTAAGTATTATTATAGTAGTAACTAGTATTTTATAATAATTAGCTATGGAGTATTTAATAGTTATGTGTGAGAGAATATGATTTCACCTCTTCCAGTTTTGCAAAGCAATTTGTGATGTTGATAGCATGAGACTGCGTTAAACTATATGATTCACATATCTCTTTCTCTATGACCCTTAAATGCATTCACTTCTCGTAGTTTATTTTCTTTACATTCTCCACTATTCCTTTTTGCAACCTTGCCTTTATTTTGAGATTTCCTTTGAGATTTTGGTTCACATGATCAATGGATCATTTAGGGATCTTCGTATAAATAACGTTTATCGAAGAATTCTTTGTTTCAGCACTAGTATTTAGTAATTTCCTGTAGTATTTCTTTAAAGAGCAGAATAAACTAGTATACACGTTTTTTACTTAATATGTGTTTTAATAGTTTGTTATCATTTAAAGAATAATGGTAATATTACTGAATCCGTTCTATACAATATCATTGTTTTAGGGGCAATAGAGATAGAAGCATATAACTCCTAGATTGCATGGGCAAATCATACTAGACAACGTAGCCAATACTATTTTGTTTCAACAATTCTTCTGGTAAAGCTCGTCCATATTACCTATTGATTTAAGAGAGTGTTTTCCTTCGTATTATAGTTGTTTTCTAATCGATTATAATTCAAATTAGAAATAATGTTTCATCGTGGCTCTATTCGAGAAGGAGTGCCAAACTGTTTGGAAGCACTGGCCATTACTTTAGTACGAATGCTGGAGTTGGAAAACATCATTATTACTTGTTCTTTGAGGTAGGCACATTCAATTCCATTCTATTATTACTTTTTTACTTTTCTGCTTTACTAATATTGCTCATTTATATTAATATGAAAATGGAACTTGTTTTTTCAAACTCACAGTGGAGTTTTATTGTTTAGGGAGTTTTCAATGTTTTTATTTTTTAGGGAGAGGGAGCTGCCCATCGCGTATACAAATACATAGGAAACGATGAATCATTTCAAGGTTTTGTGCTACGTGTGCCAAAAGTAGATATTCTGTATATTTTTCATTAGAAAGTGTGTTCTGTGCCAAGTGATGATGAGCAAATTGCCAATGCAGAGATGATTAACCTTCTTGGAGCAAGTCGTGTCTATGTTCCTAGAACATATCGGTTATCGATGTTTCATTAAGAAGAATATATTATTTTAAGAAAGAATCCTGAAGCACTTCTTTCAGAGCAGAAAAACGCTGTATCATATTTTTTACGTTTTTATTAGAATGCAAATCTCTCTATTTTACCTCTGCAGCTTATCCAAGACTGGAGCTTTTTAGTCGAGAATGCCATGTCCATTCCCAGCGTTCATTCTGCGACGTTCACGTTCGAAATCAAGCCAAAATGGGGTTCTCTCCCCGTGTACTTTCTGTCCACTTGCTTCATAGAGCCATCCCACCCATCCCATCGAAATCGATCATTGCCGCTTTTGCATCCAACAGTTCCAAAAACTTCGCACGGGCAAAATCTCCTCCATTTCCTCCTATTGCCCTGTGCAGCTTTTTTCTTCAGCAATTGGGCAGTTTCAGTCGATCCTTCATCTCTTTGAAACGCCCCAAAACAATCTCACTTGCTTTCTTGATGGCCAAAAATGCCAGGTTTCCACGATTCCACTCCCGATCGATAGCTCTGCGATCAAGTCTTTCGCGAGGGAGCTGGAGCTCGCTCTTCCCGCGGTTTTGACGAAGGAAACCGCGATTTCTGTTTTGATCACGTTGGCGTTTCAGCGAAGTGGCGTGCTGAACGATCTGCTGCGCGTTCAGGTGGGAGAAACGGAGAGTTTGGACATAGAATCGAAGCGATTGGAATGAATCCATGGCGCTGGATCGATATAATAATTGGAAGAATCACATGACGGGGAAGGCGGAGCTGGAAGCGTTTGCGATGAGTCGGGGTGCACGTGATTGTTCTGTGATGATTTCGATGGCGGTTGTGGAGAAGATTGAGAAGGAATTGCCTGCATCTTGTTTTAGTGTTCCTTATATATCCAATTTTGTTTGTGTTTTTTTCTTGTGTTTCTGTTTTTAATTGTTTCTGTTTTCTTGATTCTACGGCGATCAGTGGATCATTTTGAAGATTAGCTTAGTGGATTATGAGATTAAGCAGCTTGAGAAGATTCCGATTTGGTATAAGGAATATACCGAAATCTTGAAAGCATATGATGAGATGCACAGATAAAGGCGGTGTTTGTTTTAATCTCTTTTTTCAATTCTACCATTTTTACTTGGGATGGGCCCTATTTTTTGTAGCGGTTCAATTTCCATGGAAGTAATCCCTTCGAAGGAGACTTGTTTCAATTCACAAGCAACTGCGGTTTCGAACAAAATGTATTTACCTGTTCGCCTTTTTTACACTCTAGACAGTACGAAGCAGTCGAAATTCCTACAAAACTTGGAGTAGCTTCGAATGAGGTAAACTCTGCTTATCATGACTTTTATTCATTGCCACAGGACCCAAGAGTAATATTTTATATCCGTTTTTAATTACAGAAAGCTGCGATAAATCCACGAGATAAGGGATCATCTTTCTCCGTAAATTATGATAGTATTCAGAAGCATATTAGTGATGCTGTTGAGGACACTCGCAAGCAATGTGGGTGGAAAGCTGATTTCGTATTGCCTTATGTAGAAGATGTGTCCGAACTGTTATATTTCGAAACTAAATTACTAGAAAATGTGAAGTCGTGTAGTTGAGTTGATGATTAGGTACGGCAGTTATTGCTTCGCAGTAGCTACACATCGTTTTTATTGGATAAAAAGGATGGTCGCGTTTTGAAACAGCGTTCCCTTTCTATGGAAGAACCAAGCCCGGATCTTTTCTCTGAGAATCATCCAGTCAGGGAAGGCGGGCAGTCTTTAAAGATCAGCAGACAAAACTCGATAGGTGATTAAGTTTTATATTTTTTTGTTTGAGGAAGAAATGTTTCGTTTGTTTTCAAAGGGAGTCTCCACGATGGTGAAAGGGGAGTACTCTCTTCTGAATCGAGCATTTTCCAAGATTGTCAACTTTAAAGAAACTTACCCTGTTTTATATAGTCACGTCCATCCTGATTCATTGCCTATTGTAAATAAACCGTGTATCGACTCCAAGACTGTAATTAAGTGGTTTTGCCCCAAAGGACCCGATCATGTATGGGAAAGTGATATTGAGTTGAGAATACGATCCTACAAACGTCGAAAAGATTGTAAGCTTTCGAGTTGTTCGTCATGTTCAGTTGTTTGCCTGTTTTGCAGCGGGAAACTTGTCTCCGTCACAAATAGTCTAGCTTCGCGTCACCCTGAATATATCAAAGAGTGGATGAAAGAGAAGAATGGAGATTTGACTCCTGACAAGATAACTTGTTTTTCAACTCGCGATGTCTGGTGGCAATGCCCTAATAACCCCAAACACCAATATTTAATGGCGCCTCAAGATCGCAATGGATCTCACACTTCGTGTCCCTTCTGTCGAAACGCTTCGGTCAATTCCACCAACTCGCTCGCTGCGCTCTTTCCCGACATCGCAGCGCAGTGGAACTACGCGCGCAACGGTCTCCTCACCCCCAGCGACGTTCTGTCGAATTACCGCGGGAAAGTGTGGTGGAAATGCGCGAAAAACCCGGCGCATGAGTGGAAAAGCAGCGTTTTTTACCGAACCAAACGGCACGGCGAGTGTCCGTTCTGCAAGGAATTGCTGCACGATGAGAAAAGCCTGTCGGAGCTGTGTCCCGCGGTGGCGAAGGAATGGAATTCGGCGAAGAATGGCGCGCTTTCGCCGGATGAAGTGAGCGGGACGAGCGACAAAATTGTGTGGTGGCGATGTGAGCACGGAGTGGAGTGGAAGCAGACCGTGGTGCATCGATTGCAGGCGTTTAAGGCGGGTAGGAGCGAGAAGCGAGGTTAAATTGTAGGGAGACATCGATGCGAGTTGTGTCGAGAGAAGATGGGCGGGAAGGAGGAATAATGGCGTGTTTTTGTTGGACTGTGAATTGTGAATTGTGAATTATGTTGTGTTGTGTTTGTTGGATAACAAATTGGACAAGGATGAATCATGGTGGGTCTATCATTGGGATATTGGAAATTATTATATTTAGATGAGTTGTAGAGGCTATTCTGAATTTGTGGATAAGACCCTATACACGAATAAAGAGACAAAAAGAAATTGGTGGCAAAGAAATGGAGGCAAAAGTTCGAGGCAATTTAAGCGGGCTTTCTCTCTAGATTCACGTTTTCTTTCTCATCACAGAGCATTTGGTTGGAAATGGAGGATCGTGAAATTGTCAACTGTGAAAGCGAATTATTGCCTGCGGGAAAGGTTGTATCTAGAGTAAGCCTTTCTGTTTGTGGAACTGATGGGGTAGCCAAGGGAAAGAAAATGCGAACATGTAGATGTGATGGATACTCCGCTTTTTGAGTCCAAGAGGCAGAAGATCCAGAGACCCTCTCCTGTGAAGCCGGATCTGTACCAGAATGACAATGAAATTGAGGAGAGGGAGATAAATGGGTTTCTGGGATTTTTAAAGCGCACCGAGAAATATGCCCATATCAAATTGGAATTGAAGGATCAGCAGTTTATCACAAAGGGTATGCGAGCGATTCTAGTTGATTGGATGTCTGAATTGTGCTATAATTACTCCTTGCACCGAGTAACGTTCCATATCGCTGTATCGATTTTGGATCGTTACCTGTCTCAAGTCTATACCACCAAGCGCAGTGAATTTCAAACACTGGGAGCTGTCTGCGTGCTTCTTTCCACAAAGCTTTGCGTAATATTGTTTGTTTTTATCGTGATTCATAGGAGCCAGTGTCGATTAATCTTGCCACACTGATTCAAGCCACTGGCCAGAGCTGTACCAAGCTCGAGTTGCAGCTGTTAGAGCAGAGAGTGGTCGGGACGTTGGAGTGGCATTTGCTCATTGCCACTCTGCCTGACTGGGTTCTGTTCTTCCTCCACCGACTCCAAAGCCAGCAGAGTTTGGATGGGTCGAGTGTGCAGAGTGTGCAGAACCATGCGAATTCGGAGAGTCGAAATGACATAAGAGGTCAAATCATGGGTCAAAACTCCGGTCAAATCATGGGTCAAAATTCTGGTCAAATCATGAGTCAACTCGCAATGCACATGGGTCAATCGGGTCAATCAGGTCAATCTTCGGTTCCTTTTGATCTCTTCTTTCGCTGTATGGATCTCTGCGATCGGCTTCTTCTCGATTCCGACGTATTCATTTCTTTTCTCCTTTTCTCATTCAGTACGCTGCTTTTCTCCCCGCGGAAATCGCTCTCTCCGTGGTCTCTTCCTTCTGCTGCGAAGTCCGTCCGTTGCGTAGGGATTCCCGCGGGAAATCATGGGTAGAGGGGGCGTTACGCTGCTTGTTGCGGGAGTTTCAGTTGAATCAGGAGTGCACGAAGTGGGTGTTGGATGTGGGACTTTCGGCGCCGTCGCATCCGCTGATTCAGCTTCTGGACTCGGAAGAGGGAGAAAAAACGCGGGAGATGATCAAATCGAGGGTATAGAGTTGGAGGGAGATGATGAGGTGTAGGAGGATATGAATATGGAGTTTAATTTTAATCAGCCATATAACCAGTTGTCTTTGACACATTATACGACATCACAGAAGGAGAAGGCGCAATAAGGTGTGTGTAGTAGTTAGTTTATGTACTATATTTTTGCTTTTCTTTCTGTTTGTTACATCCGAACTTAATCGCTGTGGGAATAAGGATATGAACAGGAATTTTGATCAGGAAGACGATTCTGGAGGATTATGTGGGATTGAAATCTGTATGAAAAATTGATGATTAGTCTCCTTTCGAAAGCGTTCAAACAATATTTCGTCGCGAATCAAGAGCCAGTCGTCAAGTTCCGGAGGGACTTCGTCTTCCTCGTTGTTCGGGAATGTATTCGCATCTCCGAAGGTAAATAGAACAAAGAAATCAGCGATTGCTGACTTATCAGAAGAAGATGATGTGTGTGAGAGCGATCTAGTTTATTTGTAGGTGGCAGATGATGCAATTATCGAGGAAGATCCTGTTCCTGGAATGGTCAGCATCTTTGTATCATCGTCCGAAGAAGACCGCCAAATTTTGCAAAATGCATTAAACGTATTGTATTCGGACCGTGGAGTGATTTTTGCTAGAAAAATCAGCGTGTTGGTGACATTTCTGTGGAACTCCCCAGCTACTGGTCTTCGCGCCATATCTCGACGTTCTCCACGTGGGCTGTAAAGCTGGGACTGCGTCGTTCCTATTTTGGGATGCAGGTTCGCCTCTCCATTCCACGTGGCCACATCACCAACCTGCGTCGCTGCGTCGCAGCAGCCAGTCGCCTCACGTCCTCAGAAGACACTTCCCGGACCCAGACAACGCTCAACACGTCTTCGTTGCTGCTCACCGAGACATCATCCTCATTGAGTCAATCGCGCGTCTCGGAGCTCTCCGAGCTTTCCTACCTGTCTCTCCGCCAGCTCTGCAAGGACTACCAGATCAAGTCGACCGGCAAGAAACAGGAGCTGATCGACCGCCTTGTGTCTCTGGAGCAGGCCGTTCGCTCGGGTTTGTCCGTCCGCGAGGAGCGATCCATCGGCTCGCGTAGGGCTTCGAGCCGCGTTTTTTTACCTCTAGGAATCCCTTCCGCCTCCCTGGAGTCGCCTGGGTCGCCTGGGTCGCCTGGGTCGATTGGGAGGAGGGCGGTGGGGGGCGTGGGGGGCGTGGGGGTCCGGAATGAGTCGATGAGCGACGAGGAAACGCTGCTGCATCAGCTGCGACGCGAGGAATTCGAGCGGAACCACGAGGGCGAGGACTACTACCGCGATGCGAATGGAAGGTACAATCTCAGCCTCGACGACCAATCCGATTTCAGCGACGCACCCAATCTCAATCCCAACCAATCCACGTGGATGTCCCCCACGCCGTCCAGAATCCAGACGCCTCACAAGATGGTTGGTGAAACTCCTTACAATGCTCACAAGATGGTCAATGAAACTCCTTACAGTGCTCACAAGATGGTTGGTGAAACTCCCTATAGTGCTCACAAGATGGTCAATGAAACTCCTTACAGTGCTCACAAGATGGTCAATGAAACTCCTTATAGTGCTCACAAGATGGTCAATGAAACTCCCTATACACCTCACAAGACAACTCACCAATCTTCCTACACGCCTCACAAGACAATCAACGAAGCTCCCTACACGCCTCACAAGAGGGTGGCGTGGTCGTCTCCGGGTCGCAGTGTTTTGGAATCGCCGCATCGGAGTTTGTTGGACTCGTCTTCGTTCCTCGGCGATCTTCCTCGCTTCGGTTCGCTTCGCTATTGGCTTCGTTGACGTCTAGCCGAGCTCCAGAAGAAACTGCAGCGTCGTCGAGCCAGCATATTGGAACTGCCCTTGAATCGTCCCTCCCCAATCCAAAACAAAACCCTAACCAATTCCATTCAATCCATCCCCCCACCGAATTCCATCCAACCACCCCATTCACTTACCACGGTTTCCACGGTTTCTACTGTTTCTAGAGTTTCTACTCTTACCAAAACCCCTACTGTTTCCACTGTTTCCACTGTTTCCACTCTTACCAAAATCCCTACAATCCCTACAACCCCTACGGTTTCCACGGTTTCCACGGTTTCCACGGTTTCCACGTTTCCCTTGCACCCCATTGCGCTTCTGCATCACGTGCTTCCCTTCCTTTCTCCCGCTTCCCTCGCCGCGCTGCGCCGCGCTTCGCCCGTCGTCCAACTGGCCGTCGACCGCTGGCAGAACGCGCAGACGCTCGCCTCCCTCCATCTCCTCCGCCCGCCCCCCGCGGTTATCATCCCCCTCCCGCAGTTCCAGCGAGAATTCACCGCGGGGGAGGTCCTGGGCGAGGGCGGATACAAGGTTGTTTTTCAGGCCGATTTGTGGAATGGCGAAAAACGGGCGCTCGCGGTGATGGATTTGCAGGCTCTCCGCCAAAACGGTGCCAATAACCGCGGTTTTTCACATAGATCTCGTCGAAGTGGCGCGGCAGGAGCTTCGCGTTTCGCTCCTCTGCTCGCTCTTCGCGTCTCACTCGCTGTCTCCGCATTTCCCGCGGGTTTATCGCATTTTCCGCGGTTCTTTTCCGCCTCCTTTCAGCCGTCCGCTGGTCGCTTCGACCGACTATTTATTCGTGGAAACCGAGGTCGCGACGCGTCGTGACGTGGAGCAGGTGCTTCGAACAGGCGATCTGAGCGACGCCGCGACGCTCAGCGTGTTCTTTCAGATGGTTTTGTCGCTCTTCGCAGCCAATGAAACCGTTTCATTGCGCCGGACGTTTCATCGTAGATCGGATTGGTTCATTACGACGTCAAACTTTCCAATTTTCTGCTCCACGAAACGCCCCAGCGCGGCGCCACGTATTCTCTCCCGTGGGGCCGATACTCGACTCCCGCGGTGAACGGGCGGGAATGGCTGGTGAAGCTGAGCGACTTCGGAACCGCGGAAATTTCGCAAAACGGGGAAATCAGCGTCGGCCAGTTCACAACGCTCGAAAACACGCCGATTTTTTGCCTGCTGGAGTCGAAGCCGCCGCGCGGCGCGCACTGCGATCGCTGGGGCCTCGGGCTGAGCCTGCTCCACCTCCTCACCGGCCAGGTTCCGTCGTGGTGATCGGGTTTTGTCACGTAGATACGAAGAATGGATGGCCGATTGCGCCTGTCCCGCGGCTTTTCGCGCGCTCGCGCGGTCGTTTTGGACCGCTTCCGGGGCGTTTCCGGCGCTGCGGCAAGTGCTCCGCGAGGACGACGAAGATGTGTTGGCGCGCACGCTGTACCGCCAGTTGGTGCTGTGGTTTCGACCGGATTTGCCGCGGGGATTGGTGGATTCTGCGGTAGAATCGGAGGAAGGGAATGAGGGAAAGCTGTGGACGCGGATCTGGTCGATTCTGACGCGAAGAACGGTGCGGACCAAGGCGGAGAAGGCGATTCGGTCGAGCGTAGGGAGTTAAAGGGGTGGGGGTAAATGAAAGTTTGAGAAAGATCAGAAGCGATTTTCGTGGCTGTGGGGCGAGGATCCGATGCTGGTGAGGGCGAGGGAGCGGTGTAGGAGGATGAAGGGGATGGAGGAAGTGCTGATGGATCTGGTGAGGTTTGATTGGGAGCGACAGATGAGTTATGAGGTAGGAGATCGTGATCATGATTGTGATGATGGTAGGATATTTTGAGGAGTGGTGTATTTGACGCATTGAAGAAAGCGGAGTCGCTGGAAGGAAGTCAGTACAGGATTGATGTGAATAGAATGAGGCAAGTTATGTGCAACTTTCTGTAGAATAACAATAAAAAACTTTTGTTTGGTGTTTGTTTGAGTGCAAATCGCTTCGGTTTTGAAAGAGTGGATGGAGAGCACGTTCAGAAACAAGGAAATACCGGAAGGAAGGGAGGTTTACATACGAAGCTATCTTGATTGCATGTATCAGGAAATTCAGGAAAAATACAAGTTGGACGAACCTGTGGAAAGCCAACATACACAGCTTGATACGATATCGCTTCTTGTTGGCTGTTTTTGTCTCCTCTTATCTGAATAGCATCAAATGCAAGGCAGTTATTTTGAAAATGCTTCTACATTCATAACCGATTTAAAAGTATCCTGTTTTTTCACAGAGTGATGACAAGGCAACTTTGGTTCGATGTCTAGACTATATCCGAAATCCGATTATCGATGCAAGTTGCAAGGTAGTCTATCAGCCTCGAGTTTCGGTAGGGATTGAGGAAAGCAACTTGATTAAAGACATTTCCTCCCGAAGAGGAATGCCATAACTCCGCAGAGTATAATCGACGTGTTTTTGTCAAAAAAGCTCTTCTGGAAGAGGAAGATCCGTTTTGCTTTACCAATTGGGATGCAAAACCACATTTAATGATTGGAGATATTTGTGTTATTGGATCGAAAGTTCTATCCTCCAAAATCCAGGTAATCAACTTGTGAAGAGTGTTGATAGTACAGCTTTGTGATATGCATTTCCGATACTCTGACAAGCCGGTTTTCTTCTCAGTCATTGACACGCCGATCGATTTGCCTCCGATTCGGCAAGCGAAGCAATTGATCAAGAAGTTGGTAGCGTCGCTCAATTCTGCTCAGTGCAATTCACTTGCAGATTTCTGCACTGTAGATTCATCCTTTTTCGTCATTACTCCCAGGTTCTGGCGAACACTTGCCATGCATTAGCAGACATTCGAAGTTGTTTCGGATATGAAAACAGTGGTGCAAGGAACGCGATCTACGTGGATCTGAATGCAGAGGAAGCAACGAAAGGCGGCTATGAAGTTCGTTATTATGTGAGAAATGCGAAACTGTTTGTTGAGGTGGTTTGTCTCCAGAAGGGAGAAAGTCGGGGAGAAATCGTCGTAAAAGACGGCAAAACCTATACAGTGAAGGAGAAAATAAGTGTAGGCGAGAGAGAGTGGAAAGGAGATGAATGGTAGAAAGAGATTTCTGTGGAGTTTTACGATACGGTGTGTGGACGAATCGAGCGTAACTTGCATAAAGCGCGAATGTTGAAGCAGAAGTGTGAAGTGCTGACGACCTTTTAGTTGTACTCTTGTTTCTTTTATGTTTGATGGACAACGGAGAAGAGAAGAGTGTTGTTTCTAGAGAGCAGTCCGATGCTGTAAATAATGGAACAAGCAAGGCACAAAGGTAGATGAGCGATTCTTAATTTTGATTGCAGAAAACGAGTAGCTACCGCAAAGAGTAAACAATCCAAAAATCTAGCGCAATCTACTGAAGTCTCGAAAGAATGTGCTTCAGAAACAATCCACCTCCGTTCAGAGCATTTCATTAGTTTTGTTTCATGATACCTAGATTTGCGTGCAAAGAGAATCCGACTTGCAAGCGATTTGCAGTTTCTGTTATATTTAGCACTTGATTCGACCTCCACTGTTTCAAAATCCGCAGAATCATCCAATTCCTCTTCTGCTACCACCAAAAAGTACAAGCTAAAGAGATCCAAAACGGATGTGGGTCTGAAGAATCGCGAAGAATACTATACCCTGGTTGTCTTGTGTGTATCGTCTCATATGCAGTGCAAATTCATAGCTAAAGGCGAGCCTTGCCCGTATGGAGCCGCCTGCAAATACGAGCACGATATTCCCACCTTTTTGAAAAACCGCGGTGAAGACATCGGCCCCGTATGTCCATTTTGGGTACTTCTCGGTTTCTCCTATTCACCACAGAACGCACATGGGTACTGTCCCATGGGATTGAATTGCCGATGGGCGATGTCGCACACTTCTGCCTCCTTCGAGCCCATCGAGAAGCCCCAAGCCGAGCAAACGCCGTACGTCGAGCTGAACACGTTTCGCTCGATCCCCCTGCAAATCCGAAAGAAAACCTACGTATTCCAGTTCGATTCGTGGAAACAAAATGCCAAAAATACCCCCGAAATCGACGCTTCCGGCATCGACATCCGTGAAACTCCCTCTTCCCGCTCATTCGCAGCCATCGGCCCGATCCTTCCTCCCGACCGCGCGCCCCTCGATTTCCGCGGGAAAATCTACATCGCTCCGCTGACAACCGTGGGGAATCTTCCGTTTCGTCGGATCTGCGTGGAGCTGGGTGCGGACATCACGTGCTCGGAGATGGCGATGTGCGGGAATCTGCTTCATTCCTGCGCGTCGGAGTGGGCGTTACTGCGTCGACACCCGAGCGAGCAGTGCTTCGGCGTGCAAATAACCACGGGGAAGGTGGAGGACGCAGGGTACGTCTGCGAGCTGCTGCGGCGCGAAGGGACGGTCGACTTCGTGGATCTGAACGCGGGGTGTCCGATCGACGCGGTCGAAAAGGCCGGTGCGGGCGCAGGGCTGCTGACGAAGGTGGGAAGGCTGAAAAGAATCGTGCGGTGCATGCTGGGGAGCCTGGAAAACGTGCCGCTGATGGTGAAAGTGCGGACCGGCGACCACGAGAACACCAGCCATCGCTTGGTGCCGCAGCTGCAGAGGATTCGGGGAAACCGGGGAAACCGGGTGAGCGGGGTGATCATTCATGGGCGGACGAAGCAAGGGCGGTATACGAAGAGCGCGGATTGGGAGTCGAACCGCGGGGAAAGTGAGATATAGGTATATTAAGGCGTGTGCGAAGAGTCAGGATGCGGATTTACCGCGGTTACAGGTGATCGGGAACGGGGATGTGTTTGACAACGAAGTGGAAACCCGCGGGGAATTGAAGGGTAGGATTACTGGAATCGCATGGAAGACGGCGTTTTGGACGGGATTATGATCGGGCGCGGCGCGCTGATCAAACCGTGGATCTGCACCGAAATCAAGGAGCGAAGTCGGCATTTCCGGGGCGTTTCATTGTAGGGCATTGGGATATTTCCGCGGGGGAGCGTCTGGAGATCGTGAAGCGGTTCTGCGATTATGGGTTGGAGCATTGGGGCAGCGACGCGCAGGGCGTGGATCGCACGCGGCGATTTCTGCTGGAGTGGCTGTCGTTTCTGTGCAGATATGTACCGATCGGACTGCTGGAGCATCCGCAGACGATGCAGCAGCGACCGGTGGCGTATGTGGGGCGGAGCGAGCTGGAGACGCTGCTGGGGAGCAGAAGAGCGGAGGACTGGATCAAGATCTCGGAGATGTTTTTGGGTCCGGTGGCGGAGGGATTTACGTTCATTCCGAAGCATCGGAGCTCTGCGTGGGTGGAGTCGGAGCCGAAATAAGGTGAATGGAAAGGAAGTGGAAGATGGGTTGTTGTTTGTTGTAATATAGTATTATGAAGAAGTTGCTGTTTTGTGTTTGCAGTAGTGGCAGTAGTTGATAATGTAGTAGGGTAGCTTTTTGGGTATAAAGCCATTTTCTTGATAGATCGATGATCTCTGCATTCAATCCCTTATGGTATATCCTATCCTATGGATTGGAGTGGTATCGATGGGTTGCTGACTGTGAAAATATCGTTATTACTACATTCTCGATGGAGATCGATCATGAATTGTTTTCATAATCACATCCATACAATCTAATACTATATAATGCGGTAGAATCATGATAGTAGACCAGTATTCTATTTCAATTCGACTATTATCTTTCCATGTTGACATTAATAATGATAATACTATTAACTCGTACTTAGAATCATGAATCCAATACTCATCAATGGATTTGTCTACCGAGTTGTCAACAATATTCAGAACCAATACATATTTCTTCCTCTTTTTATGATCAGCATAATCACAGCATTTAGTACTACTAATATGAAGAAGAATTGTTTTCCTGTACTTTCAAAAGTTAAAAAACGAAATGAAATATATTTATAATTGAACTCACATTTAAGATCCAAGTTTGATAAATAATAAACAGTGGGTTTGAAGGAATAGATACTACATAAAGGATAATTTAACATATCTCATATTTCTAGATTCATTTGAAATTATTTTGCAAGCAACAACCATAAAATCACTACATATAAATCCACTTAGACACGAATAGCGAGAACGGGAGATACATCTATAAATGAAAATAAAAATTAAGAAATACTCCAAATAGATTTCGATCGAACATACTCGAATGGACGACGAAAATCAGTATGTAACTTAACAATTTGAATATTTGGAATATCTAGATACTTTTAGTATTCAAATAATAATAATACTTTCCAATGTCACCCAACGGGGATATTGAAAACTCTTTCCCTCAGAATTGTCAATTGATGTCAAATTTGGAATATCTATAATCAATCATATTGAATGATTTCAATATTACTTCGCATTGTCAAGGAACAAGAACCATCATCTTCTATTCCTTCAAGTGAACTCCAACCAAGTTGAATGGATTGTAATGATGGAAGATCTAGATCCATTATTTCACTCACATTTATTCTATACTTTCAATTATTGTTGATAATGATTCATGGAATGCATTGTAACCTATTGTAATGGATTGCAAATTAAGAAGATTTATGCATTATTCAAATACTCAATATCATATCAATACCTCGAATCACAAATGAACTATAACAAAAATTGTATGAACTACTTCTAATTATGCCAATTTGAATGGATTGTAATTGTGGTAGATTCTGTAATTCAAAGTCGCCTCCAAAATCACTGAAACTATAATCACCAATTTGAATGGATTCCAATGATTCACAATTCAATATGTGGAATGATTTCGATTCATTAATTCCCCATCTGTTCTTTTTCTGAGTAAATGAATTGCTTCCGATTTTGATAGTTTTCAATCGATTCAATCCATCGATTTCGAATGTTTGTACTGATTCAAAACAGTCATTGCCAATTTCAATTGATTCCAAATTATACAACAATGAAACATCCCAATCAACCAATGCACAATTGTCACTCAGTTTCAAATGTTTCATTCCGATATTCATTGATTTGCTTCCATCTCCTTCGTATTCAATGTCACATTCAATTCCATTATACCATTCACATTCATTCACTAATTTACCATATCGATCATACACTTTTCCAATTCCAAATCGATTATCATCACACCAATATCCTTCATATTCAATACATCCATTATTATGATAACTCGTTCCATAGCCAAATCGTTTCCAATTGATCATTATGCCCTTGTACACCAAGAATCCATCATCATTATACATTTCACCATATCCAAATGGAATTCCAAACTTGTTTTCTGTCAATACCAATCCTTCAAATCGACTTCCATGATCCAAATCCACGATTCCTTCTTCTACTACTGCTATGGATTGTTCTTCATCTATATGAAATAGCACCAATTTGATGATTTCCAAACACTTTCAACACTTTCTGCTCATTGAGGACAAATCCTTGATTCATGAATACTCCATTATTGAATTGCAATACTACACATTCTCTATTACTCAATATGAGTGAAATCCAGCCATTTGGTTTCATTTCCTTACCCAAGCATCCCTGCACATTTTGAATCATAGAACTATCAATATGATAGTTACTAATAGCAGAATTGACAAAATCAACAAACTTTTGCATCGGAATAAAAAGAAACTACCAAATGAATACAATCTCATTATATACCTAATTACAATGTAAAAAATATCATATTCATAGGTTTCGAATATTGTTGACAACTTGGTGGACAAATCCATTGATGAGTATTGGATTCATGATTCTAAGTACGAATAAATAGTATTATCATTATTAATGTCAACATGGAAAGATAATAGTCGCACTGAAATAGAATACTGGTCTACTATCATGATTCTACCGCATTATATCGTTTTAGATTGTATGGATGTGATTATGAAAACAATTCATGATCGATCTCCATCGAGAATGTAGTAATAACGATGTTTACAGTAGTAGTCAATTAATTACGTCTAAGACGCAAAAACATGGCGTCTGATATTGACCACGGAAGTCCATTTTGCGTCTTTCGTGTCGTCTCGGTTGTCCATCACGTCTAAGACGTAATAATCCATGGCAGTCAAAATCAGCCGATTTTGACCAGGATCGTCCCCAGGTTGCCCACTCCTCCACTGTTTACCATACCATCTATGGTAAAGTAAATGCATGGTGAATTTTCAATTCACCTACAAAAGGAACCTTCAATTTTACGACATTTCTCCATGCTCATTCAAGGTTCACCTAGTAACGACACGTTCACCTGGATCAACCCGTACAAGTATCGAAACCCCTACATCACTTCCATGAATGTCCTGTTCATACCTTAGTAAAAACAACTTTTACTTTACATGATTTTCAATTGGTAATGCCCGACAGACAGATAACGCACATTGTCGTCCAAAATTCATCTCTTGTTGTCTGTGCGAGTCATGAATATTTAGGTCTGTTCCTTATTGATGATGACGAAGCCCTGGTTGTTGATGCGTTTGAAGGAGCCCTCAATGATTGTATCGCCTTCCTCTCTTCCTCAAGAACACACTTGTACAAATCGATGTTCTTTACACTTATTCTCTCACTATCGATTACAACATTGCGAAGTACTCCCGTTGCTGTGTAGTGTATCACATTCTTCTCATCCACGAAACAGTACATCTTCTGTCTGAGTTTCACGAACTTAATAATACGATGTCCATCGTGTTCATCCTTCTAAATAGGTTCCGACAGCTTCTTGTCAAAGTTAAGGAACGAGGACCACGAAGGGAATTAATTATTGTCTACTTCCTGATCGTAATAGTTCACATGTTGCTAACAGAAGTAGCTTGTGTTATCCAACTCCGAGTAGTCGAATGATATTACATCTCATACATCTTGTGAACGATACTGCCCTTGTCATTCGGTTATACGGTGAGTGAGCCATGTTCTGTCCCAGTTATTTCCCGCTATCGAATGTGTTTTTGAGCACATTGTAGTAGAAATCGTAGATGATGTATTTGGACATGTCGAGAATGGCGAACCCGATGAAGAATGGTATCACCATCTTTTCACAGGTGTATTCAACTTGACACCAATCAGATTCTCGGAATACATGGTGATTCCCGCAACATTATCATATCCATACTTCTTAATAATAACCTCGCGTTCATTCCATGTGGTGGCGAACTTTACTTTCATTCGTTTCAATTTAGTCTCCACGAATTTGCATTATGTTAATTATGCCAATAACTAGAATAGGTTTATTTCACAGTGGTGTTGGATTTGGCTCGTTTCTCACTTTGCATATTCACATATTCGAATATGAATGAAGCTTGTCTGAAGGGTATGTATGTCATACACTATAAACGAAATCAACCAAAGTAAAATAAATGAATCAATGTCGTACATATTCAGCAGCAATGGAAACAATTAAACGTTCAAGAAGCTCGATAACATGCTCATCAATATACCAGAGAACGACGGCAAAGACATATTCGTACGTGAGACAGTGGATGGCATTCATCAATATTCATGGACGATACCTTCTGGGTGTTTTGTGAAAGTCAATAATGCCACATTGTTTGAACATACACTCACATCCACTCAACCATTCAATAATCAATGCTAATTCGAATTATCTTCTGCTTTATATCTCATAATCACATCGATTCCATGTTACAATGAGAATGATGCCCTTAATCAAACATTGTGATTCCATCGAATCGATTGTGGATAAGGGATACAAGGTGAGTGTTTCAATGGATGGTGTGTGATTGCTCGATATGCCATTCATCGATATACTCAACAATCTTGTGACCCTTTTCGATACCAAACTGATAAATGGAATCGAATGGACAAATGAGAGTCATATGATCTCTGTATTCACGAATATCCCTTCTCTTGTATGTCTGAGTGATGTGAAGAGCATCACGATCGTTTTCAAACACTTGGGCGAGGTTGTTGCTTCTGGGTGCTCGTAATGGGTCGATGTGATCTTGCTTCCTCTCTCAATGCATTGGGTTCCTTTCGACTCTTGGATCGAGTGATGGGTGGTACTGGTTGTGGTTTACATTTGCTTGCCAGCAGTTCCCAATCATAACACTTCTGTGTGCTATCGCTTTCCACATTCTTCACTTCGTACATCAATGGCATGATGTGATCGTCAATGTCAATAACTTCAACCAAGTCCTGAGACCATTTGCTTGTCAATGATCGTTTTTCCAGAATGCGAGGTCTTCGTGTCACTCGAACATAATCACCAACATCGAATTGAGGTGTTGTGTCCTTTGCTGTCATGTTGGATGGTTCTGTTTTCTCCATGTACAAGATATCGTTGTTGTTGTTAAGCCAAAGGTCATTGGGTGTATATCCGATGTCTCTGTTCTTCCTTCCATTATGTCTAC